TTTTTATAATTTGACTCCCATCACGATACCTAGTTCTTAGGCTTGTACTCGGAAGGGTTGATCATAAGCTCAGGCCTGACATACTTGTCAAAGTCAGCCTCGCTGATAACCTCGAGCTTGAGCGCAGCCTCCTTGAGTGTGAGGTTGTTCTTGTGTGCGTATTTGGCAGTCTTGCTAGCAGCGTCGTAGCCGATGACGGGGTTGAGGCAGGTAACAAGCATGAGACTATCAAAGGTTAGCTATACCATGGACATATTATCGACGTGAGGTGACTTACCTTTCACTCATGATAGAGCTGATGCGCTTCTCATCAGCCTCCAGGCCAGCAACGAGGTTCTTCTCGAAACTGCGCATGCCATCCGCGAGAAGGCGCGAGCTGTGGAGCAGGTTGCGGATCATGACGGGCTTAAAGACATTGAGCTCAAAGTTACCCTGCGATCCAGCGAAGGTGGTAGCGGCCTGGTTACCGAAAACCTGGGCGCAGACCATGGTGAGGGACTCGCACTGTGTGGGATTGACCTTTCCGGGCATGATAGAAGAACCGGGCTCGTTCTCGGGCAGCTTCAGCTCACCAAGACCGCACCGGGGGCCGGAACCGAGGAAACGGATGTCTTGAGCGATCTTGAAGAGAGAGGTTGCGAGGGTGTTGAGCTGGCCGTGGGCCTCAACGATGGCATCGTGGGCAGCGAGGGCTTCGAACTTGTTGGGTGCGGTGACGAAGTCCTTGCCGGTCATCTTGCTGACTTCTGAGGCGATGTCCTCGGCAAAACCTTTGAATGTGTTGATACCAGTTCCGACGGCTGTTCCACCCTGAGCCAACATCTTGAGGCGTGGTAGACAAGTCTTTATCCGCTCAATGCCAAAGTCGAGCTGTTGTACGTATCCAGAGAACTCCTGACCCAGAGTCAGGGGTGTGGCATCCTGCAAGTGTGTCCTGCCAATCTTGATCAAGCTCTCCCACTGGTCGGCCTTCTTCTTCAGCGCGTCGCGTAGGCTAGCGAGGGCAGGAAGAAGCGACTCCTCGAAGTCGAGAACGGCGGCGATGTGCATGACGGTGGGGAAGGTATCGTTGGAGGAGGCGGACATGTTGACGTGGTCGTTGGGATGGACTGGCTTCTTGCTACCCATTGTGCCGCCGAGGATCTCGATGGCGCGGTTGGAGATGACTTCGTTGGCGTTCATGTTGGACTGAGTGCCAGAGCCAGTCTGCCAGACAACAAGAGGGAAGTGGTCGATGAGCTTGAGAGATGCAACCTCCTCAGCGGCCTGCTGAATGGCCTTTCCAAGCTTGGGGTCTGCATGGCATTAGCAGTGTAGCTTTCCTTTTCTTCAAGAGGGCATACCCAGCCCAAACTTCATGTTGACCGTGGCAGCAGCGCCCTTGAGGATACCGAAGGCGCGCACAATAGGCGGCGGCATGCGGTCCTGGGGCTGGTTGATCTTGAAGTTCTCCAGCGAGCGCTCAGTCTGAGCTCCCCAGTACTTGTCCGACGGGACCTGGATCTCGCCAAAGGCATCGCTTTCGGTTCGCGTGTTGGCCATGCTGCTGGTGACGCTGAATTGACGGCGCTGGAATTGGCTTTGTATCTTTACGGGGGTGTATCGAGTGGTGGAGAGCGGACGCGTGCTGCGGGCACAGCAGAAGGAGGGGTTGGCCTTTGCATGTGCGAGTGATCGCAATGCTCCGGCCTCGGCGGCGCGGAGCTTCGTTGCGCTTCGGAACATGGTTGCAGCAGCTGGTTGTGGGGATGGGATGGAGTGCAATTGGGGGGCAGATGCCGGATTGGCTAATTGAGGTGCTCAGTGAACACTAAGGCGCAAGTCGCGGAGAAGAAGATGAACAATTGCTGCACGTCAAAATGCCCCATTTCAGAGAGCTCTGACCTCATGCTCGCGGGAACTGCCTCCGGTCTTTCCCGCGGCATCGTGGAGCGCACGTGACTATGCAGATGCCAAGCCTCAGGTGGGAGTTCCTCCAACGGAACCTTGGGAGCTTCCAAGAGCGCAACATGTAATTCATGGTAGGCAAGAGTCCAATGCTAACACTTACCTACCAAGTCGGAATACCGCCACTCAGCACCTCGTGATTCTTCCGCTCTCCCTCGGCGCCCCGGCGCCAAATTCTCAGCATTAGCCTGTGATGACCTACCTGCGCATGCAACGTCAAGCGTTCCGTCTCTTTTGCGCTGATGCGGCGGTTCGCTCATGTCCCGCCGCCCTGGCCGGCCACTCTGTTCCAATCCTCCCAAAACCAGGCCGCGTAGGACTCTTAAATGCGATGCCTCGTCCTTGCTCTTCTGACGGAGACTTTAGGGCACTCTCGGCATAGATATGCTTTGCCTGCTTTGGTCGGCCTAGTGGACTTTCTGCATAGTCACCGATCAAAAGCTTCGGCATTATCGGGCACACCCTGTTGAGTGAAACACACCTCGTACCTAAGGCCTGTCCCCGCCCAAACTTCCGTCTGCATCACTGCGTTGGGTTCGGCTGAGGCTCCCATTTATTGGGTCATGATGATAGATTCTGCCCTCTCTGATGACAATCTAGAGCTACAATGGCAAACGACCAAGTACGTTGGAAGCTGGGCTGCGGCGTGACGCTCTGTAACCATGTGCCCTGCGCTTTCCGTCCTCCGACGACTGGTCATGTTAGATTAACGTAGCGAGTCAAGTCGGAGTGCACCTGATCTGTCTCCACCATCCTTACGATCCATGCTGGGCGCTCGTCTTCGAGCCAGCCAGCGTAACATGGAGCTATTGACCCCTCATCTTCACCTACGACTCAGTCTTCAGCTTCAACAAACGGTCCTGTCCGTTTTTATTGCCTACCATCCTTTCGCAACCTACTATTGTATCTTCAAGTCTACTTCACCTTTGTGTGTCCGTTTGTGAAGCACCGGTTCAGCCTGGCCGCACGTACTTGCTTAGCCGCAGATAAGGCTTCCATGACGCTCATCGAGCCTTCTGCTACGAAGCTTTCCACTCAACGACTGCCTCAACCAGAATCAGAAACTTGTGGGCAACAGTTGCAACTCTGTATCCGATAGCATCAACATCCACACCCACCCTGACACTCGCTTACCACCACTTGACACAGCTTACGGTACCTTTTGTCAAAGCAAGCAGCAGACCTTCTAGAAGAAAGCTCTCATGGCTCACAGTGACTATGGCGCGGCTTCTTGGGCTCAATTTACGACTGATCCTGGGAATCCGGATGCAGAACTGGCTGCCCCGCTTCTCTTCGCACAGGGACCATTCCAACAACAACTTCCGCCAATGTATCAAAGTCAACATATGCCCAGTGGGAACCCTTCCGTATCCCAGATTCAGGACGCATCGAACGTGCCTGCGAGCAGTCACCCACCGAGAGTCCCGCCTTTGCCATCTATTGGAAACCGACACCAACACTATCCTCCTTACGCACACCCGTATCAAATCGTAACTCCCCAACGGCCATCGTCCGTCTGGAACGGCGCTGAACAATGGCAACCTGGTCAAGCATTCTATGATAACGGCGTCATGCAACAAGGCTACCAGCCGTTCTATCAGCCAGGAGCATCGAGTTACAACCCCCATTTATCCGCATCATCTAATCCAGGAACTTCTCCACTTAGTCGACGCCGCCATGACCAAAGGATGAGCCTGGGATCAGTGGCCCGCAATGCACATGTAGACACTGTACGTGGCTCCCAAGAAAGACACCGAGGGCCACCACCGGGAGCCCGGGCTCAAGATCCGAGACCCCCGCCTCAAGAACCAAGCCACGCAGGTGAACAAAGCTACCCTGGATTTGGCCAACCTCCATGGTCATTTTCAGAGGGTCCAAGCCGTCGCTCAGACCGTAGTACCTCCCCGCGCTCGTCAAGTCGCCGGAATTTTGAGCGGTATTCGGTCGACCTCTCACAGTCGAGCACGTCGTCTGACGCAGAAGAGGCGGCTGCCCGTGTGCCGCCGTTGAACCGAATGAGGCACCGACCAAGAGAAGTGCGACCACGATACGTGGGCCGTCACCCGCATGTTGATCCTAATCTTGCAACTGCTCGCCAGATTCAAGAACTAAAGCACAGCCTACAGCAGCACCTGCCGAGTGCGCTCCCAGAGAAAGCGTCCAAGGCTTGTGATATATGCCAGAAAGATTATGCGACGGCACATGTAGCGCCCACAGAAGAGGAGGAGATTGCCGTGGAACTGGCGTGCGGACATACATTTGGGGAGTTCTGTATAAGTCAATGGGTAAGTGTAAGTATTCGGAAGATAGTAGTCGCCTGCTAAAACAACCTAGTTCGATACGTGCAGAATACACAAGAACAAAGTCACTTGTCCCATGTGCCGGAAGCAGCTCATCGAAGCTCCCCGATGCATCCAGCCCATACTGCACGCATCTCCGCGTGGTCAAGCGTTCATCGATCTACTTGCTCGCGAACACATGCATAACCATGCTTTCCATGCCAACTTTTATCCAGCGTGAGGGTTGCGAAGTGAGACTGGAGTCAGGATACGATTCTTAAAGTTGTGATATCATTGTTGGGCACGGACAGCCTTGGTCGACTACTCAAGGCGTTCTCGTTTGGTGGGGAGTTTTACTGACGATTGCACATGGTGTGCGTAATTCGAGGTACAAAGGAAGTCAGATTGAATATTTACATAATATGTGCCGAGCATGAGATCAACATCAGCATCTTCGTGGATATCGGATTTGCATGTCAGGACCTTGCGTCGATCGCAGATGGGATCCACTTGCCGGGATGCCTAGAATTCATCGTTGCCCGGAGCACACTTAGCCCAAAACATGCACCCCGCCATCAACACAAACTTGACCCTCTACACCCTGCGCCCGTCAAACTGCGAAATCGTGTGAGGTATTGGGTTGAAAAACTGTTGTCGCTGATCGCTTGCGCCCCTGCTGCTAGCCTTTTGCTTCTTCGCGCCTACTTGTCCCCCGCGGCTATTAGCTGCTGCCCATCCACCGCTCCTTCTTTCTCCGTCGCTCAGTAGTCCGTCATGGAAGACGGCAACAGAGCCAGCTTCCAGATGCCTGCCCCTCCACCTCCACTCCAGACTCGCGATAACGCAATGGATCGTCCAGGCACGCCGACCGAGGCCTTCATGAGCCCGCAGCAGACACCCCAGGGCAGTCCAAGCAAACACCACCAGCCGCCCGGCGCGTTCGATCTGCCTCACGTCTTCGAGAATGCCATGAGACTGCTACCTACCATGGGCTCGCCCTCCAAGACGAAGCCAGGATCACCAACATCGCCCAACAAACTTCAGCTCGGCAGTAGTGGTGCCGACTATACCGCACAGGACAGCCCAAGTTTCGCACCAGGCAGTCCCACACGCAAGTCAAACCAGGAGAACACGCCCCTTGGTGGTCGCCCAGGCTTGCAGAAGGAATCGAGCTATGTCACACATGCAGCACAGTCGCGGCAGGAGCCCTACAGGACACGCGAAGAAGGCCAGCAATCCACACGCTACATCAATGGCCCACAGCGTCTTTCGCCAGAGGAATTGGAGAAGGCGAGAAAGCCAGCCGTAAAGCGCCTGGCGAACGTGACCCAGCTGTGTAATGCTTTCATCGCATCATCACCATCCAGCGCTAATCAAACATCCAGATTTCCTCGACTACTACTACGACCTCCTCACCTACGTACACAGCCGCCAGAGCCGTCTCTCCCAGTTCAAGGCGCAGAATCCTGCCCCACCCGACACACCGGAAGAAGAGTACAATGATGCCCTTACACAATACCTCGGCCGCGAGCGTGCCAACCTCCGCAAGCGACGTACTCGGCTGAGGCAGGGTGACTTCCAGATCCTCACTCAGGTCGGTCAGGGTGGTTATGGGCAGGTGTATCTGGCGCAGAAAAAGGACTCACGCGAGGTGTGCGCCCTCAAGGTTATGAGCAAGAAGCTGCTGTTCAAGCTGGACGAAGTCCGCCACGTTTTGACAGAGCGCGATATCTTGACCACTGCTAAGAGCGAGTGGCTTGTCCGCCTGCTCTACGCCTTCCAAGACGATAAGAGTATCTATCTTGCCATGGTGAGTCGCATAAAGAGCAAACATTACATAGTGTACTGATGACTGCTAGGAATACGTTCCTGGAGGTGACTTCCGAACCCTTCTCAATAACACCGGTGTCCTACACAACCGACATGCGCGTTTCTATATTGCCGAAATGTTCTCTTGTATCGATTCGCTACATCAGCTGGGTTACATCCATCGCGACTTGAAGCCCGAGAACTTCTTGATCGACAGCACTGGACACGTCAAATTGACCGACTTTGGTCTTGCAGCGGGTATCCTTGCGCCTTCAAAGATTGAATCTATGCGCATCAAGCTCGAATCTGTTAGTGACGTCATTTCGCCATTTGGTCGTCCTATCGAAGACCGATCAGCAGCGCAGCGACGAGAGAACTATCGCTCTCTTCGCGAGCGAGACGTCAACTACGCGAAGAGTATCGTCGGAAGCCCGGACTACATGGCACCTGAGGTGTTGAAAGGTGACGAGTACGATTTCACAGTCGACTACTGGAGCTTGGGGTGCATGTTGTTTGAGGCCCTAGCCGGATATCCACCCTTCGCTGGTGCCACAGTGGACGAGACCTGGCAAAACTTGAAACAATGGAAAAAGGTTCTGCGAAAACCCGTCTATGAAGACCCGTCCTATTTCCTCTCGAAGCGCACTTGGGACCTTATCGTCCGTCTCGTAGCGTCCAAGTCTACCCGCTTCCGCAATATATCTGAGATCCATGCTCATCAGTACTTTGCTGAAGTCGATTGGACGAGGCTGAGGGAGCAGAAGGCACCGTTCGTACCGGAGCTGGATAGCGAGACGGATGCCGGATACTTTGATGATTTCGGCAACGAAGCCGACATGGCGAAATACAAGGAAGTACACGAAAAGCAGGCTGCTTTGGAGGCTATGCAAGATCGCAATGTTCAGATGGGCAAAGGTCTCTTCGTCGGATGTAAGTTTTGACATTATCTATTTCTAGCCAAATCGCTAATCCATATCATAGTCACTTTCCGCCACAAGAAGACAGCCGACGAGGGTGGTAAACCAGCAAGTCCTAGAAAACCCCTTCCCATGGTTGAAGAGAACTTTGGCACCATCTTTTAAAATCACTCGCTTCGCTCTGCGGGCCGTAGCACTGGTTGCGTCGGCGCTTTCTCTCCTTCGTAGACTCATTTCTGGGCATCAATTACAGCATCCGAAAGTTGTAAGCTTAGGACGAGTAATGAGGCGCGTGCATGGAAAGATCACTTTCTAGGTTGCACGTCATGGCACGATTTGTTAGATTTGGCGTTCAGTTTGGTCTAAGCATAGTTTATTGGGCGGGCAATTGCGCTGCATGCATTCAAGACGTCGTGTATTAGTAAACAACAGGTACACGAGTATGAGAAGAGTGATTTTCACATCGCAGTCTGTGAGCGATTGCCCAATTGCTGATGTCTAATAGCTTACACGCAATCACCTGACCGCGCATGTCGCGTTGAGCGCACGGATCCGATGCGTCGCGCTAATCGATAGTTCCCGTCCTTTCGTCCCCTCTCTCATACTGCGTACTCCACTTACGTCAACCCACCCACACAGTTTGCGACAATGCCTGGCATCGTCCAGCGAGGACGAAAGCGACCTTCGCGAGCTATTAGCGAAGATGTAAACGAGCACTCTGACACCTCCTCCCCGCCGTCCTCCCCAGGCAAACGCGCCCGCCACGATCAAGACGCGCCCAATGGTTTCCTCCAAACGAACGGCCACCCGAACGGTTCGAGCGCGTACGGCGAAATCGATTTCAAAGCGGGATCGCTCGTCAGAGTGAAGCTCACAAACTTTGTCACGTACACGGCTGCAGAGTTTCATCTGGGGCCGAGCCTGAACATGGTCATTGGTCCAAATGGCACAGGAAAAAGTACCTTGGTTTGCGCAATCTGTCTAGGCCTGGGATGGAGCAGTGAACACCTAGGGAGAGCTAAAGAGGTGGGCCAATTTGTCAAGCACGGTGCGACAGAAGCCATCATCGAGATCGAGCTTGCAACGGGCCCTGGCAAAGGCCCCAATCGGAGAGTCAAACGTATCATCCGCAAGGAAGACAACAAGTCCATCTTCTTCCTCGAAGATAGGCGCGTCACACAGAAAGATGTCATGGCGATGGCCAGAGGGTATTCCATCCAAATCGACAACCTCTGCCAGTTCTTGCCGCAGGACCGTGTCGTGGCATTCTCTCAGATGACCGACGTCGAGCGCTTACGAGAAACTCAACGGGCCGCAGCGCCTCCCTACATGGTGGAATGGCATGATCAGCTAAAGGCCCTGCGTGCCGAAGAGCGATCGGTGGAGACGAAGCAGAGCAACGAACGCAGCCATTTGGAGAAGTTGGAGAAACAACAAAACTCAACGAGAGACGATGTGGACCGCCACCATCAACGAGAAGGTTTGATGCGGAAGTCAAAATGCTTAGAAAAGGTCAAACCCATAATTGAAATGAAGATTCTCAGGACGGACATCACTGAGATCAAGAAAGAAATACGAGAAGCTAAACTGGAGCTCGATCAGATCAAAATCGACATAGAGCCAGCGCGTCAAGCTCAATTGGCAGTCGAAGCATACCGGAGCCAAGTAGAGCAGGTTGTGAACCTTCGCAAGAATCGCGTCGACACGATCAAGACTCAGACGGACAAAATAGCGACAAAAGTCGATACAGAAAAGGCGATAGTAACGGAGTCTACAGTGCAGATCAAAGCCGAGCTAGCGTCCAAGAAGACTAGCGAGCAAGACATGATCCGCCTGAATCGTGACATCAACAAGCTGGAACAACAGCGAAGCAGCGTGCCCGAGCATTACGACGCCGAGTCTTATGAACAGCGCAAGGCAGACCTACGTACTCAAATATCATCCAGGTCCAACCTCATTCTCGAGAAGAGGAGTGCATTGAAGGATATTCAAAGCCGCGCACATGACATCAAGAGACAGGGCGAAGCGTTGAGAGCTCAAGGCGAACGACTGAACACTCAAAGCGGAAAGCAAGCCAGCCTACTACAGAAGCTTTCCCGCGATACAGCCGTTGCGTGGGATTGGGTTCAGAAGCACAGAGACTCACTGAATTTGAAAGGCCAGGTGTACGGCCCACCCATCCTAGAATGTTCCATCACAGACCCCAGGTATGCTCAGGCCGTCGAGGGGCAGTTGAGAAAAGGTGATGTCCTTGCTATTACTTGTACCAACAAAGATGATCAGAACTTGCTGATGGATCGTCTCCTAACCAAGAGGAATGGACTGGGACTTCAAGATGTTTATCTTCGAACATCACCGAGGCCTCTTTCTTCATACCAAAAGCCTGTCGCTGGAGCAGACTTGAATCAATACGGATTTGAGGGATACATGCTAGACTACATCACAGGACCGGATGAAATTCTAGCTATGCTTTGCGATAACACCAAACTGCATCAGGTTGCGTATGCTGCAACTCAAATATCTGATGAGCAACATGAGGCCGTGTTGAACAGCTCGATCCGCAGCTGGGTCAGTGGCGCAACCACGTTTCGAGTTAATTCGCGTTACGGTCAGTTGTCCACGTTGACCACGAAACTTAGACCGGCAGCATTTTTCGTAGATCAGCCAGCCAACACGGATGAAATACGAGAGCTTCATGAGAGGCAAAAGGAGCTAGTGCGAGAGAAGGAAGAGCTGCTTGAGAACAACAACCTAGTCAAGAATGAGGTCAAAACTCTCGAAGAGGAGATTGAAGAATTGAAACAAGAAAAGGTAAAGGCTGCCGATGGTATATAAGCTTTCTATCACTAATGATGCGGCAGGATGCTGTACAAGCTGAGCAAGATGGCATCAAGAAGGCCTTAGCCGAATGGGAAGCTCTTCCTGGAAAAATTGGTAAGCATCTCACCTGTTCGAGGAAAGATGTGTTTGTTAATTCCATATAGCTTCGAAGCAAACAGATTTGGACAATCATAGACAGAAGATTGCGGAAACGGCCGACCGCATTCGAGTGATCAAAGCCGACGCTCGTGTCGCTTCACTGAACGCAGCCAATCTAACGCTTGACTACGCTGTAAGCTGCAATTGTTCTCTTGCCCAGGCTTTACTGACCTGCTTCATAGAAAGCCGTCACACAGATGAGGACATTCCATGAATCGCTTGTGGAGGCTGAAATTAGGTTCCTCGAAGCGAAATCTGAGCTGAGGGGCTTGATACGAGAAAACAGCGAAATATTGGAGAAACAACAAGCACAGGAGTATAAAATTGCTGAGCTTGACCGACGCCATCAAGCTCTTCGAACCGACTACAGGAAACTTCATGATGTCACGCAGAGAGACATTCACAACTTCACTGAAGAAGAGAACCAGATTATCCTCGAGTACAAAGAGCTTCCCAGCGTTGAAGCTCTAGAGCTCGAGATTCAGTCTGTTACTGCACGATTAGAGATGATGGCTGAAGGCAACCCTGGAGCGATCAGGGCTTACCAGAAGCGTGAAGAAGATATCAAAACGACGCGAGCTAAGCTGGACGAGTACGCTCATAGTCTCGAACAGACGAAGGACGAGATCAACGAAATCCGGGCACAGTGGGAGCCTGAGCTCGACGCTCTGATTAGTAAGATCAGCGCAGCCTTCGCGTACAACTTCGAACAAATTGGATGCGCTGGTGATGTTCAGGTAAACAAAGACGAAGCAGACTTTGACAACTGGTCCGTTCAAATTTCAGTTCGCTTCCGGTAAGCTCCACCCATCGTAGTCGTGCTCAAACATAGCTAACTATCCCAACAGAGAAAATGAGCCGCTGAGCATCCTAGATTCCCACCGCCAATCTGGTGGCGAGCGCGCCGTTTCAACCATCTTCTATCTCATGGCCTTACAAGACCTTGCCCAGTCGCCCTTCCGCGTCGTCGACGAAATCAACCAGGGTATGGACCCCCGCAACGAACGTATGGTACATGAGCGCATGGTGGATATTGCATGCCAAGAAAACACAAGTCAATACTTCCTTGTCACGCCCAAACTTTTGCCAGGCCTAAAGTACCACGAGAAGATGAAGGTGCATATTATCAACTCTGGAGAGTATATTCCTGTGGCAACGGGCAAGAAGAATGAGTGGAATCTTTCAAGCATGGCGGAGATTGCGCTAGCGGTTAGACGGAATGTTGCTGTTGCTTGAGGATGTAAGAATGTGTAGATGCTACTCATCGCCAGATGAAGGCAGCTTGTGTGGAATGGGACACAGCTACCATGGTAGTTCGAAGGCGTTCACGGTTTGACATGTTTTACAGCGGATGGCATCGGTAATGGCGCAACTGCATAATGATACCAATACTGCGGAGAGCAAACGATCGATTTCGATTGCGCATCAATTGTTCTTAGCCCGGTTTATCAGCGCTACCGCATAGCGTGCGCGAAATTTATATTGAGGTACCCGTACCCGTACGTGGCTATGTAACCGTTTCCTTTGACATACCGTGTTCGTGCGACCGAGGGTGCGAGGAAGGGCACCTTTGTGCGACAGTAACTCTCGTTCCTGGCCAACACCTCACCATAGATGGTTCTCAGCACACTTGCCGAACGTGTAAGCTGGGGCTGAGCTGTTTGTAGTACGAAGAAAACGGTTATACCGGCGCTGCTTACTTGCATTACAGGTTGGGATGAGGCTATGGCTCGCTAGAGTTGGTACCGGGAATGCGTCATGGTACAGGATACCTTGGGAAGGTTACATCGTAGAGGGAGGGTCACCCAGGGGTTTTTGCATGAGATAAGAACACGGGAGTTCTTTGTTGGACTATATATTGGATTCATGCATGAGTAAAGGCTTCCTCGTTGCATTAATATACGAGAAGGAATAACCACTTTCCCGCACGAGATCACCGCTCGATTTCGAGAACATGGCACTTTACACTTTCCTTTTCGCGTGCTCTCTCCTCTCAACCCTTACTTGCGCGTTCCCGAGCCACATCTCCACCCGCCAAACCCTTGCCACAGAACTATGGCAAATTCCCCGTCTAAACATGCACATGATGAGCATTGGCACCGGTATCCCTGGTAACCCCCCATGGCCTGAAGATTCAAAGTTCAATTCCACTATCAACTTTGATATACTAGTCCCTGAGCATACACCTGTAGGCACAAGAGATGTGGGAGAGACGGAAAAGTTGGAGAAGTGGAATTGTCAGGGTGTCATGGGCAATGGGACGTTGATGGAGGAGATGGTGTGGTGTGAGGGTGATGGAGATGGGCAAAGGAAAGGAGGATTGATGTTTGGTATGCAGAAGTATACAGAGCTTGGGGAGAGGAGGGCTGAGTTGAGCTTTTGGTTGCGGCTGTATAGGACTGAGTGGGTTTGCCCCGAAGTTTACGTTGAACTCCTTCCTTCCTTCCTTCCCTCTTTTGAGTTTTCGTCGCCATGCATACGTCGAGAAATGCTAACTCCAATCGCACGACAGAAAGAACGGCGACCAGGCTACTACCTGGCTCCAAGGCGCAACGCCCATCACGGCGAACGATGCGAAGGAACTGAGTAGTTACCTGACGTGTCTCCAAGGAAGACCATATGATGGGTTGAGATGTCAAATCAAGAGTTATATGAGCGTGGATCGGGAGCTTGTCGTTGAAGGATCACCATTGAGTTGAGAGAGTAAGAATGGATAAGCATATGCGCGGAAGGTTGAAGTGAACTAATGAAGACGTGAGGCCGCGATGACGGATAGCGGTACCTGCGTTAGATGGGTGATGATATTTTCGAGTCAGAAGTGGGCAGATAACTGTCATTTGCAGTGTATGTTACACTGCAGATATGTTGTGCGTGGAGAGACGGGTGAGGCGTGTTTCATCTTCCTCATCCTTCTTCATCATAACAACATTGACCGATGGTTGTTAGCAAAAAAGCCCATGTAGCCTTCTTGTTTGCCAATCCTCCGCTTTCCAGTAGTCATTTTGATGCGTTGACCCACAGGTTAACAGCAAGGTCGTCCATTCCGGACCAGCATCGAGACTCAGTTTGGCGGCCCCCGCGTAACTGAGGCTGCGAAAACGACTTGTCGAGGTTGGAGACATCGAAACGTTGAAGAGCTACTGCAGGTACACTACCGCGCACATGCATAACAAGACTATTGTAGCTGTTTGTCTCGATCCCGACCTTTTACTTTCGGCTTCTACCCGCACTTGCTCTCCATTCTTCTTCTATTTGTGCTTTTTTCCTGGTGATCAGTCTGCGTTTTCAAGATGCTATTGACCTTCACCGTTGCCGAGGTAAGCTTTCGAGGCGTTTATGCAGCCTATGGTTTTGGCGTCGAAGGAGATGCGGTGGAAGCTAGACACATGGTAAATGCTGGCTCAGAAGATCCACGACGAGTAAATAACTGATGATTTCGAGTAGACATGCATTTCTGGTGCCTCGTCTATGACTACGAGCAGCCCACAGACGTTGCCTTTCGCGAAAATATCACTGCCTCCAGCAACCAGCCCTAACTCGAATCCCGGCATCTCTCCTGGTCATCAGTCGTCCCAAGAGGTCCCTTACATGCCTCCCGCTCCATTAACATGCTCGCCTCGACCCTCTTCTCAGCTCAGCGCCCGAGCTAAAGCGAGTATCATCGCAGGCTCCATCATTGCCTTCTTCCTTTTTCTCCTGCTCATACTCGAACACACCTATCTCCAACGCAAACGCCAAGATTGCGCCCTCAAATAAGCGATCGACGAGGTAGAACGAGGAATTGAACTGAAGGAGTGTACGGCAGGCGAGAGCAAAGAGAAAATGGTATTAGAGAGTCGAGTTGAGATCATTGTAGAGGGTGAATATGAGGATATCGCGAGGGATAGTTGTGACGGGGAGAGTCAGTGGGACGCTGGTACAGACGGGAACGATGGCGATGGGGACTTGAGTGAGTGGGGAAGCGGCAAGTGGTGGGATAGAGGGAGGAACGGGATGAGTCTACCGCGAGCAGAAAGCTGAGTATGGAGCGGACATGGAAGGAAAGGCGCTGTCTGTGAAGATGCGCTTCTTTCTACGTGGGTTCGAAGGTATTGGGTTTTCGGTGCTTTCACATGGTCGTAGTCGCGTCCACGTTAGCGCAGAGCTACCTCTAGTTAATGAATCTGTTTGCACATCTAAGCCCTACACTCCACATAACTCTTTCTCTTTCGTGCTGAGACCGGTCAAATCTTTGCACTCACGGTAAGCAAATCTATCCCCACCATGGCTGGCAAATACGAACTCGCATCGACCACTCGGAATCCCTGGTTACTTGACCCTGTCGTCATCGAGCTCCAGTCGTGTCCTGTCGTGTTCAGCCGTTCAAGCGAAAGACATCGCGGAGCTCATGGTCCCAGTCCGTATGGCCTTTCTTGATCCCGATACTGGCACTGTGATTCACAGCTTCAATAGAGCCTAAGGCGCTCCGACGTGGGCTTGTCTGACTGTCCCGACTCTGCACGATGCAGGTGCTCATCAGTTGCACCCGCACTCACTGACCAAGTCCTCGAGATGAACCAATCTTAGATAAGTGGCGCGCAATTCTACCCTCCTCTAATCGCTCGTCCGTCTCTTCCCTCGTTAGGCAACGCGGATCGCGAGAGGACAGTGTTGAGACTGCAGCAGCATCTGGACGACCAGTACTACGCCGCACACACAAAGACACTCGCCTTCCGATTATATATCATGAGTCGATATTTCAAGCAATTTGTAGGGAGCAACGAGACTTCGAATGCTTCCTCACAGCTACCAGCCGATAACATCTCGCTCATGCACTGCGCTGCTCCTTTTTCATTGGAGGCATCGACGTTAACGAGCATCAGTACGATACGCCTCACCACTGGTGCGCGCGTATACAATCTATATCCGCCCATGCTACACAACATGACGACTGTGCAGACATATCTTCTAGATCTTACCAAGGATCTTACGTCAAAGCACGAAAGTATATGCAAAACTTTACAGGACGGAATGACCTTTGCTCAGCGCGCCGGTCAGACTGTGACTATACCAGCGTAATGTCCAACAACTGTATTCTCCACAACGATCAGCGACGGTGTCCCAACCCGTTCCTGTTATCATGATGACGTGTCGATGAGAGTAAGGGAGTTGGATCTTACAAGATATCAGTTCAAAGCTGTACAGCACGTGTTTCATGAGACAACGGACGCGTCGTTGGAATATCACACCGCGCAGATGTACAAGGACTTTTCCACAGTCCTCAGAACATCAGAGCCGAGAATCTCTAGCCTCAGATTGACTTTAGCCTCGAGAGCTGCATGGAAAGAGAAGAATGCTCATTTCCGGGCTGTAGTAGAAGATTACGTCTCAAAGCCGTCGGAGGAGTCAATCTACAATTCTCAGAAATTGATGCGTTATGTGCAGAATACATTCAAATCGGAGATATCGTACACTCGGCGACCAACAGCCTGATCAAACGCTGAAGGAACGAAAGCTTTTTCCATTTACTCAGCCTTCACAAACTATTTATATTCTCTCCAACAGAATATTAACCACCCGTTCGATGATCCGGTGATTACGCTTCCCGACGCTAGCCTCGATCTCCCTACTCTGTACAAACTCTACGCTATTTCGAAAGAGTCCGGGTGACCAAATGAGGCTTATGAGTTGGGTGAATGGACGGCCGAGAGAACAGGACGGCAAAGTATCGATACTGTTTTCGATTGCGAAGTTTAGAACGTGTATAGTTTGAAGTTGCGTATCTCGCATGAGGTGTGGTGTTGTGCGCTCGCCGGCATAAGAGCGGGTACGACGAAGGTACCCAACAGCAACGCCACCACCACGACAATCATTGTGACCCGAACGGTGAACCATTGCTCTTGAGAAGAGGCCGCAACCCATAGGCTCAGGAGTTTTCATATACTGTGATCTGCCGCGACCGCTGCTCCACTATGCGATCCGCCATCGTAGAGTACGCACGCCACCACCTTTCGAAAGCTTATCGGTACATGCCAGACCAACCACGCGGTGTGGAGAATGAGGTTGACTTTTCGTATAAGTGTGATGAGGAAGAGGTCGGAAGAGGAGACGATCGCCGCGGTGGAGAATTCGATGCTTTTATCACTACTACTGGATGGCCGCCGGAGGATGACGACGACATCGATCCGGTTGAGTCAAAAGACGAGCGTGAAGACTTGTCGATAGACCGTGAAGGCGCCGTGTCGGAAATTTCGCAAAGTTCGAAAGTATTACCCTGGTCCTGCTGCCGTCGACTCGATTGCAATCCGCCATTGCGAAGCATATCGGGAAGCTGTAGTAGTCCTGAGAATTGAAACATAATGGCGGCTCCATTCTCGGAATTGTAGACAAGGTATGGTCTTTTCAAGCTCAACCACTTCTCCGTAGGACGGCGGAAACAAGGAGACAGCTTCGGCTGGGCGGCTAACGCTGGAAAGCAGGTAAACTGCGGATGCAGTATGGGCTTCAACTCTAGCTGCTGGCAGTCCCTCTGACTATTCCTCTTCGCCAATCCTCGTACACGTAATGATGACACATTATCTTGGTCGACCCGCTCTTGTTGGACGTGTCACGTTGTGTCATGTAGCAAGCCGGCGGGAGCTACGTAGGCTATTCAAGTTACGTAGTGCCATCATACGGACTCTGGGGGAAAATAACATTACGGGCCACATACATTGATCGCTGAAGGGCTCGGCTAGCCTGGCTATGGGGGACTAGATATACTTCTTACGTCAAAAGAGTTTGCTGTGACACTTGAAACTTGCGGCTAAGAGGATGGAAGATGAAAGATATGGTGGAAACACAAGAGACGACCTGTATGAGGGCAAACTGATTGCTTCCACCTCAGTTCAGGATACATCTAGTTCATCGGCATGCTGCTAAGTTTGCGTCGTGTCATTTTCTACGTGGAGTACACCACGGATAAACGCTCCAGGCTGGCAGCTTGTCACCCCTCCACAGATTGGTTCTGATCCCCTTCACGGTATTGTTCGCCACTTGGATGCCTAGTATGATGCAGCTGATTCACGCGGTCGTAAAGGTCGAAATAGGTCAGGCGCCTCGAATCTAGTGGGATTGTTGGGTGCACTTCCCAGCTGCAACCTCAATGGTAGTCTCATCTCGCATCTATGGTCGCAACAGCAACGATACCAACACAATCATAACCCCTCCACGATCAAGAAAGTCTTTTCTGTAAGCTATCATCATGATGCTACCCGCATACTATGCCCGCGGCATTAATCATGATCCTCGAGTTCATTTACACGCTTCCGTCAGTCAACCCCGTCATCGGGAGATGACTTGCTCAAATCGTTGTACGCGTAGGATACAAGGGATGACAGTCTCGGACGTCTGGCGGATCGAAGACCTTTCGGCATGCGTGTCTTGATACGCGATGTCACCCCAGGAATAAACCAACCGAGCAAATCACAATCCGAATAGATCGAAATGGGATTACCGCACGAAGTGATTATGCACAATGCACTCTAAAAACATTCGCTATATTTCGCAACCCTACAAGCATGACGTAAAGGCCAGTGAAAACCTTTAGAGTACTTCTTGGTGTCATTGTTGACTCGAAAAAACGAGCTTCCTCGTACGCGGTCTTAGCCGCGATCGACAGTCTGTACCGAGCCGATCGGTCACAAGTACCACACAACACGCAAAGGTACGAAGATCAGATTAGATGCATGCTAGTAATACCTTTAAGCTTTTGATTGGTTCAGAGATGTAGAGAAAAGAATGCAAAGCAAAAGCCATGATATGCAAGATTTATACGATCCATAAATAATTCCTTACTGCGCCATCAGCATCGATCCTAGCGCCTAGCCACATGATGAAAACTCTTCAAGCATGTGCTCCATCGAGTTCACCAACGTGAGACGGCATTTCGTCATCGACAGGAACAGTTGACTGGATAGAGGCACTGGAGATGCCCTCGCTCTCAGACTTGATGCCCTCCTACTGATCGTCCGTCTCCGGTTTGACATGCTGGCGCAACTCGATCATTGCTTCGATGACCTGTAGAGCCATTCCGTGGTTAACCAGATCTTTCACATGCTGCCATAGGTCAGGGTCGAGCATTGCTGCCAAGGTATCAACGACTAGACTCTTGAGCTGCTTGGGCGTATTCTCGTTTTTGACGGCATGCTTGAATACAACCCCAACAAGGTCGTCAGTGGCGGCATCTGGACCATATCCCAACAGAGTTCGAAGAGAAACACCATGACTGGAGGCATGCAAGAGACTGTCGTTCGCAGCCTTGTACAACTTGTTGAGGCAGATAGTAGCAAGCGCATCAACTCCAAACTGTGTAGCCAGCTTCAAAACAGAGTAGAGCTGCTCTGAACCCTTGTACGAAAAGGTCCCCCGATAGATCCACTGCATGAACAATCGGACAGTCACCTCCTCAACATCTGGTAGCACAAGACGGTGCTGCGCGGCCGCTTTTAGAGGATCTTGTTCAGCCTTCTTGACTTCAGCCTTGTTGATCGCGTGGAGTCTGACGAAGAGCTGGGAGGCGACAGCTTGTACGGCGTGGGGCTTGAGAATCTCTAGACGTCCAGCTAGACTCAAGTCAGAGGGAATCTGCGAAGGCTTTTGGACCATCTTCTTGATGTTCTTGGCGGAGATTTGCGCTGCGACTTCGTCCATGATGAGTTTCTTGATGCCAGAGGCATAGCCTATCAGAGGATAGTTCTCTGATGCTTGCTTTATCAACGGTTTGACCTGAAATGTGTTAGCTGAAACCAGTCGAATATGTGCACATAACATAGCAAGTTGAACATTAGTTTTGTCGTTTACCCCGAAGGTACGCTGATAGGACTTACTAGCTGTTCAAGATGTCCATCTTCAAATTCCTTCTGCGTAATCTCTGGGTACATGTATGCGGCCATTCGTTCGCGAAACTTTTCGGACTTTGCGAATTGTGTCCTGGCCGACTTTGCCTTGGAGAATCGAGCTTGAAGTTGCTTGCTGTGGCAACACAGAATCTCTTCATGTAGAGTGAGCTTGGTCTCCAAATCGGACCCACATTCGATGGTGATGGGCGTTTGCATGAGCATCCTAGTTGGTCGCATTAGTCTACCGATGCGCAAAGGCTGACAGGGCCTTACTGAGTCGGGTTGTAATCCACAGGATCCGAAATATGCGGATACGCCTTGAAGTCAGCGGCATCGTTCATCCTAGGCGGTTCCATAGAGACACTTGAGCGTTCAACACTGGCGCTGGGCAAAGTCGAAGCACGAGACGAAGTTGCTGGTGGTGTTGTAGTGGTGAAGTGATCCATCTCGGATTTGCATGTACTCGCCATCGGTAGTTGATCGTATGTTGGGGAGACAGTGGGAAGGTGGAAAGGTTGAGAAGTAGCGAGATGAAGAGATAGAGAGGCTGGCCATGGTGGTATTTTGTGGGCTGACAAGAGCAAGTTTAGGGCACAGTCTCTCACCTTAAAAGAAAGAGAGCTTGAGCAGAGGACTCACCCAAGCGGGTCAGAGGTGAAGGTGGCTTCAAGATGACCTAGTCAATCATCAATCTCGATAAGAAGCATGGGGATGGAATGTATATTCAATATTCGATGGTGAACCGCCGTGGTAATGTTTAATGGTATCAAGATGTACTCCAAGTCAGCGCTTACTCCTTACCCATGCCGTGATCAATCATGCATATCCTTAGCCGTCCGAGGTGAGTACTATATCTTCCTTCGTTTGCTCGCCGTGGGTTGATCCTCTTCTTCAACTGACGGCGTACCCTCATTTCCAACACGTCCACTGTCCCTCTCTACATCTCTCCAAGTACTGACTAGCCCTTGAACAGTCTGGAACATATCCCTCGCATCGCTCACCACACCCTCTTCTCCAGGATTGAACATGACCGCGTTGACGAACATACGCATCAATTCCTTCTCCAACTGCGCAGCGTTTACAATGGCCTTTGGCGGCACATTGTCTGCCGTGATGGGCAACTCGACAACGCCTCCTGTCGCACCACCAGGGCTACCAGTAGGGTTGTCGGACGCGGCTGCGGCTGCGGCAACTTGCTTTGAGCCTGTGGCTATGGCCTTCTTGATAGAAGAGAGGTCCGTGGGGCGCTTGATGATGTCGTAGTAGCCCTCCGCATCTTTTGCGCGAACAGCGGTATTGAAGGTTGAGGCATGCTTGTGGGAGTTGATGTCGTACATCATGGGTGCCGTGGTGCGGGCGAAGTTCCGTGGTGCAACTAGAGTCTTGGGTGGGCCTGGTGTGCTGTAGGACGCCTCCTCAGTCTCGTCGAGAGAAGCCTCACGGGCATTGCGTTTTCGGCGCGTTGAAAGCGATGATGAGGTTGGAGCTGCACCTCGTCGGCGCGTGGACATGTGTGATGGTGTGTCGAAGGAGCCCTCCTCATCAGCAGGGTCTACTGAGGTTCCACGCTCTGACTTGATCCGGTTACCGGCTTGCGATTCATTGTCTGCCGCTACTGTCTCGGTATGCGATAGAATGGATTGGCTTCTACTTCGGTCCCGCACGGAGCCACCTGCTCGAGATGAGGCAATGCTACCAGGCCTTGTTCGTTTCGCAGGTGCCTTTCTCCGTGAGCGCCCAGACCGAGTCTCGGGTTCTAGCAAAGAGTCTTCTTCTTGGTCGTGGGACTGCTTGGAGTTTTGTGGTGTCTCGACGTCTATGACCGACTCCTGCTCTGCCTCCTTCCCTTTGCCTTTTGCTCGTGGTTTGCGCTGCATCTTTGCCTTTGGCGGTGTCTGTTTGTGTCGGATCAGAGGCGGTACGTCGTCGAGAGGTAATACTTCGGGACGAGGGCTTTCAGGAGTGCCGGACGTTCCAGTAAAGCTTGATCGCTTCCAGAGACTCTTAGCCGACACGGGAGTTGCTAGAGCGCTATGCGGTGAGCGTGGATTGATCGGCGTGGAGAAAGAGTGCCTCGCCTGAATCACAAGGGGATGCATCTGCGGTGCGCCTTGTCTGCCAGCACCAGGGGTTTGTACGTTTGCTCTGGATGGTTGTCGGTTGCTGGCAGGCGTGGATATCTGAGGGTATTGCGGCGGGACAGCAGCTTGATGGTGAACGCGCGACGGATCTTGAGGCGCAACCTGGAACGGTGGAAGCATGAACCCTGCCTGAGGCGGCGGCTGGGGCATCTGCGGTTGCAGGGGAGGGTATGGCTGGTGTCCTGAAGGAAGGTAATGAGGCCTCTGCTGTTGCCCTGGGTGGACACCAGGGGACTGAGGACCCGAAGGCTGCTGCAGAGGGTATTGTTGGTGTGGCGGAGGGTATTGCGTCTGGGATCCCGGGGGACCATAGTGAGGTACTCCATTTGTCGCGTAGTCTTGAACTGGCTGAGGCTGGAATTGAGGTGCCGGCGACCGCGTTTGTGAAGGATGGCTGATCGTCTGGGATTGTATATTCTGGGGATAGAGAGGGGCATTCGGATGCGGTGCGCTATTGTAGTTTGGGGGAAGCTGTGGTGTTTGCTGGGATCGCGGCGGTGGTGCTAGCGGCTGGTTGAGAATCGGCTGCGGAGTGGAGGGTGTTTGCCGTCCATCCAAAGAAGGATGCTTCTTGCGCTGAGACGGCGAGAGCTGCCCGTTCTGGGGTGGTAGCGCTGATCCTGGTGGTGGTGGTGGTTGTTGTTGTTGTTGTTGAGCAGGATCTGGGGAAGGCGCGATGATGGGACCACCTCGCGTTCCATTCTGGACAGGAGTCGGGCTGGCATTCGGCTGCAAGGCCTTTGGCGCCAGATGCGGCGATTTCCTAGGTAGCTGAGGGCTTCGCGACGTCGGTGTCCGGCCGGTGGACCGCTCTCTCAACTGGTCGTCCCATTCTCCACGCTCGATGCCCTTGATCTCGCGCTGCAACCTCTCGTACCGCTCCTCCTCTAGCCTGATCTGCTCCGTAATCTCATAGCGATACGACGCGTATAGCTTTGTGACGAGCTTCGGGATGAGGTGCTGGTGCTGCAGCGACTCTTGGACGGTCGGCAGGCTTGGGCTATGCCTCTTTCTCTTGCCCGAGTTAGCGACTTCCCCATTCTGGCCCTCGCTGTCGCCGCCCTGCTCGTGCTCAATCTCCCTCTTCAGACGCTCCAGGTAGAAGTTGCGCAGCGCATCAGGACTGAGGCGGCCGGTCTGGAAGTACTTGTGGGCGGTAATGTCCGGGTGTTTCTTCAGCAAATCGGATATCCTACCGAAGACGGCGGGCCCTACGCCATAGGCATGGAGGCACTGGAACAGCAGCAACGACTCGAGGTTGGTGTAGGCGGAAACGCTAGTATTCATCCCCCAGGCGTCTGCAGCGCGAGGGCGATGGGCCTGGGGCGGAAGGGGAGCCAGAGCTGCTGTGTCGGGGGAGACGGTCTACAGCTGCAGGCAGACGGGCATCGCATGCGACTCGGATTGATGGGCGCGTCGGGTGGGGAAATGATGCGAGATGGACGGGCGCTTGGTGTGGTTGAGGGAGATTGTCGCAATGTCGCAAATTGTCGTCGGTGGTTTCGCAGCCCAGCCGCCTGAACCTGACGCCTACATCGGGCTGCCCCTGACCACAGCCAATCAGACGCGTCCGGCGTCACGTCGCCTTCACGCGAGCGCGGGGCCAGACTCCAAGGACGGCGGGACCTTTTACCACACGTACTGTGATACTTTCGGCAAGCTTCGTTATAGCTTGCACCCTGATATGTACAGGCTATTGTCCTACTCCTCGTTGCCGTTGTGTCTTCGTATCTCGTCGGTCATTCTTCGTTGGGCATTCGGGAGCTGCGGCGCATCCAAACTCTCCTTCTTCTCAGCTCCACAGGCGATCTACGCCCAAATTAGCTTGGGGGCATAGGCATCCCCTTTTCCTGACATTGCAATCGTCCTTCCATCTCTAATCCAGGGCAGCCATATTATGCTCCCTCCCTCCCATTCCACGTCTGGCTGAGTTGCATGAAACATCTTTGATCTGCTGAGCCTCTTGCCTCGTCTTGTCCCGTCTTGCTCCAGCCCATAAATATATCCACTCAGCCCCGACCTTCTCCACGCCACCTGCATCCTGCATAACCTGCACCCCATCCTCCCATCATGACTTCTTCATACCCTGCACAGTCGGCCACCATGGAGGACCCAGACCATGGCTGGAAGCCAAACAACCGCCCTCAATCGTGAGCTCTCCCGGCGCTAGCATAGCTCCCGCCTGTCTGAGACTGACCACGCCCTGTAGCACGGTAGCGCGCAACTTCATGTCGGAGCTCGACAGCCTGTTCAACTTGGATGGAGGCCTCGAGAACCTAGACAAGACGGTTCTTGAAAAGTAGGCTCTCGCCATCTTCACCGCTATTCTGAGCCGGCTGACAGGCGCGCAGGAAGCAAGCAGTCACCACACAGACTAAAGAGCTTGAAGCCCTAGAGGCAAGGCTCAAGGCTGCCGAAGAGCGCTTGAACCAGGCCAAGAGCAACTCCCCACCAGCGAACAAGGACAGCCAGCGCGAACAAGACAACGCTCGGTTACAAGGGGCTACGAGCCCCCTTGCGCAAAAGACTCAAAACATGCCAGGTGCGCTACCAGAGACATCGACTCCTACATCGACTACCAGTGCTGACTACGTCCTGGTAGAGAGGCCACTTTCCGCCAAGCCTGAGACCGCATAGTTCCATCTCATTCACTACGATACCACGATACCCCGGCACTGCGCCCACATCCAATACAATCCTTGATCTCTGCGGTCGGCAGACTGCATCCTGGAAAGGGGCATATACTTTTTATAATCGACGATGGCATTTTCATTTCTGATTGGCGAGATATTGTTATTTGTCCGTCGGCCTCGAGGCGCTTTTGTGCTGCTTGTCTCTCTTTGGACGGTTTAGCTGGAAATGCTACATAAACTCCATGACCTTTTACTCTTTCCTTGTGGTGTTCTGCTCTGTTTCGGTTATAGGCCACTAACTCCGTAGCTTCGAGCACAGGCCTGGTAGCCTTGTAGCAGACTCACCGACACATGCAGCTTCTGCGTCGCAATCTCAGCAGACTTGCAACATGGACGACGTAACCGAGGCATCGCTGACCGAAACATTCGACACGCTCGTATCAGATGGCGTCATTGTATACGGGCCCAATGAATCTATCAAACTGGAGGATGAAGGCTACCCTGTAAGCTAGTCTAACATCCTCAACAGTCATACCCATACTCATGGCATGCCCAGATGGAATTCCGTATCTGCCCAGCGCTAGCTACGAAACCTCACACGGTGGGCGCCACCAATCATGCCTTCGATCAATCACGAAAGTTGGGCCTAGGGAGCGACATGTTCTGTCCAGACGAGCGACTCATAGTCACTCCGCTCAACGGTACGCACGAGCTGGCACTGAATCTCTTCTGTGTCGACAGACCGCAAATACTTATGACGACCTTGGACTCATACAAGCGTCAGCACGAAGCCCTTGACGTAGACGACTTTGAGGTCATGCTCCAGGTATTACGAAAGCTCCCAAATTTTTACGTCATCTTCAACTGTGGAGAGAGAGGTGGATGCAGTAGGGTACACAAGCATCTCCAGGGCTTGAAGGGGCCACCATATGCTTTCAACTATATCATCTCCACGCTCAATGACCCATCGAAGAAGGTACCCTATCAGTTTTTCATTCATGAATTCAGTCATGGTTTCAAGAATACTCCAGCCTCAACCGTTCTTGACGCCTATCGTGTGCTGCTTGCGCAGTGTCGGTCACCTACGGGAACGGGCGGAGAGGATACACCTCCGCACAACGTTGTCATGTGGGCTGATCGTCTTGTCGTTATTCCACGTCGGAAAGGAACTACAAAAGGAGCAAGTGCGAACACTGGAGGCATGTTGGGGAGTGTATGGGTAAGCGGACAAGAGCATGTAGACGAGTGGAAAAAGGTCGGTTACGCGAACGCATTGAGGGAGCTGGGTGTCCCACGTCCATGAGAGCACGTAATCTTATCACTTGCACCTCGTGTATTCGAGCAAGCTATAATCAAGGCGCGTACAGACCACGCCGTGGCTGCTCAATGCTCATCCTCCTTCCTGTTCGAGACGCTCATACTGCAGCACGTCAACTTGCTAAAGAGCACCACAAGATCACGTTCTTGGCACTGTCTGGGCCTCGCATTTGGCCTATCTCGTAGCCAAGACGAGCCAGCATAGTCTCCGAAACGGGCACCTGCCTAATGCGACAAGCGGAAAGCCTCCGCACCAATCACACCTTCTTGCCCACGCCATCAAGAAGACATGCCAAGTAGTTCAGTATATTAAGCCGCCGTCCAGATCCTGGAATCGACCTCCCCGAATCCCTTAGTATACTAATCTCTCGCGCTTGCATCATCTACGTTGATCTCTTTCGAGTTTACATCTCCCGTGCTTGCAGCAGATCGACCGGGAGTATGGGGTAGGTACCTGCCTAATCGATGCGAGACACGGGGATGAGAAGGTGAATGGTGTCGGCGTTACTAGCCACAGGAGGGGAAGGTGGGTTATCGACCGGTGCGCCTACTACACTGCTTAAAAGGAAGTGTTTTCCTCAGTATCTCGCTACAAGTCCTCGCATTCATCATCCATCATGAAGACCACCATCCTTACTTCGGCACTTCTTCTTTCTTCTACAGCGCTTGGCACTGTCGTGCCAAGGGCCGGTAAGAAGGTTGATTACAGTGGCTTCAAGGTACTACGCGTGTCTAGCACCGATGCTGTCAAGGGAAAGATCGAGAACTTGGCTGCGCATATCCTTAACCCTGGCACGTCCGCTGAGCTAGATGTTGTCGTTTCGCCTGAAAATGTCGATGCTTTGACTGCCTTGGTCGCTGAGAGCAAGGTACTCAACGAGGATGTTGGTGCAGCTCTTGCAGAGGAGGGCGAGATGAGCGTTTATGCCGGTTTGTCAAAAGCCTTGTACATGTCATGACAACTATTGACCGACTCTTAGTTCCCAGCGAGTCTTGGTTTACAGCATACCATCCGTATGCCGACCATCTCCAGTTCCTTCGGGATTTACAAGCTGGATACACTGGCCGATCTGAGATCTACACCCTCGGCACCTCTGTCCAAGGACGAGCCTTGACTGGCATTCACATCTGGGGTAGCGGTGGAAAGGGCTCAAAGCCTGCTGTCGTCATTCATGGTAATGTTCACGCGAGAGAGTGGATCACATCCATGACAAGCGAGTATGTCGTGTTTTCATAGAATCAGCGCAAGAGTATTATGCTGACGCCGGACTCGCAGATATTTCGCATGGCAACTCCTGACCAAGTACGGTTCAGACGCAACCATCAAGTCCCTCGTCGACAAGTTCGATTTCTACATCACACCCATCGTGAACCCCGATGGCTTTGTCTATTCCCAGACAACTGACCGTCTTTGGCGCAAGAATAGGCAGACTGTCAGCGGCAACACCTGCGTTGGCCGTGACATCAACCGTGAGCTCTCTTTTACATGCTTTGACTGGCACATTACTAATAATCCTTCCAGGCAACTGGCCATACAAGTGGGAGGTAGCAGGTGGAGCTTCCACAAACCCTTGCTCAGAGACATACAAGGGCGTAGCAGCTGGTGACGCGCCCGAGAACCGTGGTATAAGAGCGCAAATCGATTCGCTCAGGGCGTCGCGCGGTATCCGCCTTTACCTTGATGTGCAGTAAGCCACTAACGCCTCCATGTCCAAACTCTCTAATCCAGCCCGCTAACCACACCGTCAGCTCCTACGGCCAATATATCCTCTGGCCCTATGGCTATGACTGCAGCCTCCGCGCCGAGAACGACGCGCAGCACCGTTCTATCGCAACCCGTGCCCAGTCTGCTATTCGCGCTGTCTCCGGTACCGCATACACTATCGGCCCCAGCTGCTCGACGCTGTATGCTACAACTGGCTCTTCAACTGATTACACTGATGTTCAGGGTAATGCTACCTACTCCTACACTTATGAGCTGAGAGATAAGGGTACGTTTGGGTTCTCGCTGCCGGCGAACCAGATCAGACCGACTGTTTTGGAGACTTGGGCTGGTGTTGCCAGTATGCTTAGGGATGCTTAGGGTGATTGTAAAGACACATACGAGGGTTGGGGATACGTAGGAGATTGAGTAGAGACCGAATGAATGGCTCAGAATCCACACTGGAGACATAGTCCAAGAAAAAATGCTAGTATTACCGAACGGCCCCATCCTCTTCATCATGGCCATACATTTAGCAAATGATATTTAGGCAATCATATGCAACCGTATTCCAAGCGTCGTCCTGCAAGGTCTTCGGACCGCAGATATACGAAGAAACCCACTCTTCTCAAGTTATACTTAGCAGAAGCTTATCTTTAGGATACTCGCGGAGTTCACACTAACAGGATTTGGAGCAGACAATCGTGTACGTTTATACCTACAGTGTCTGTTGCGTCTTGTAGAAACAAGCATCTTCATACACATCTGGCAGCACATTCAGCGTTCGAGAAGCTTCATGACGAATGATTAGAGATAATCGTGGTTGCATTCAAAGCATTTTTTACATGGCTCTTAGGCCTTGAAACCTCACCCACGGTCTACTGTGATTTCGTTTCGCAAGTTCAATTCTAAAAGAATAACGATGCGCATTGCTAGATGATGTTTGGTGTATTGTATTGGTGAAGCAGTGACGCGTGGGCTCCATGTTAGTCGACGCGCACGTGCGTCAACCCCGCCGATGTCAACACCGATGGTTTTCTGAATAAACAGCGCGCCAACATGGCTACACTCCACCGTGAGCGCGTCGAACACGCGTTGAACGAGCTGCTGGTCCGCATCGTGCCCGAAGACCCCAATGACGATGAAGAAGCGGCAAACCAGCGCTTTGAAGATGCTTACGACTTTGCTATTGACGCGCTGACCCATGCGGGAGATGCCTCACTCGTTCCTGATGTTCAGCACATCGCCAGCCTGATTGATCGCAAGGGTTAGTGGTATCAGGAGGACGTGATTTATAGTCTGCTAATCCGCGACAGTCTCGGGTCCTCTCAACGACCAACGCAAGAGCGCTCGTTTACACAACCTCCTCTCTCGCCTAGAGACACAGAGCGTTTTGGACCAGAAATGGCGCATGCTGTACTTCCTTTACAACTTGTCCCCGAACACCGAAGCCTTCCAAGAACCACCGCCAATCCAAGACTTGCGCAGCTTCTCCCGCGAACCCACGACGCCTTCCAAACGCCAGAGCGTGGCAGCCGCGTCTCATGCCATTCAAGACGCTTTCGCAAAGCCAGGCCTTGCGCAATTGCCCGTCAATGCCGGATCGCCAAAAGCCTCTACATCTACTCGTCCACCGTCAATGGTCGAGAAGCCAGAGAAGCGAAGGGAGAAGCGACCCGATACCGCCAAGGACCAGCAACAAGCAAATGGAGGACACGTAGAGAAGGCAGAGATGGGGCCCTCAGAGCCGACCCTGCTGCGTGAACTACCCTTCACGCTTCAGGGCTACTCTTCGACGAACCTCACCTTCCCTTGTTCGACAGCTCTCAAACTTCCTACCACCCTCCCGGTACCCATCATTAGCCTTTTACATACACTCGCTGAGCCCGCGATACTATACAAAGCTCTAGCTGACTTCGTCGAAGCAAATGATGGCGGTCTGATTGAACAGAGCTTTCGCGCAGCGTTAGCTAAGGAGCTGCGAGCATACTTGGGGCTGGTTGCAACCTTGGAGGGACAGATCAAAAGGGCGTTGGCACAATTGAGCGAGGCAACAACGCAACAGGGTGTTAGCAAGGCCGGTGTCACCCTCAAGAGATGTGTCATTTGGATACGAGAACCAACCATGGGCTTGCGTCTGATGAGCCTGATGGTCGAAGAATCGAAGAGCAAGAAGGGCGGCGAGCTCATAGCCCTCATCCATTCATTCTCCCTCAACCACGGCGATCCTTACGTCATGAGCTTTGCCGAGCGCCTTCTCTCGGACGTCACACGACCGTTTTATGATATGCTCCGCCAATGGGTCTACGATGGCGAGCTTGCTGATCCCTTTGGCGAGTTCTTCGTTTCCGAACAGAGCGAAGATGATATCCTTGAGGCGAATGGGAACGAGGGAAAGGGAGGCGCTACGAGCGTCTGGGAAGACAAGTATAGACTGAATGACAAGATGGTCCCTACAATCGTTACCGACGACTTTGCCAAGAAGGTCTTCTTGATTGGCAAGACCCTCAACTTCATTCGCTATGGGTGCGGAGACGCAGCATGGGTCGACAAATACTCCAAGGAAGCTTCAAAGGAACTGCAGTATGGCGATACTGCGAATCTTGAGCGTTCTATCGGCGATGCATACAAGACCACGATGGCACGTCTGATCGATTTGATGGCGAACAAGTTTAAACTGTTTGACCATCTTCAAGCTCTCAAGCAGTACATGCTACTAGGGGCCGGCGACTTCATCGCTGTGTTGATGGAGTCGCTGTCATCCAACCTTGATCGACCAGCCAACACACAATACCGACATACGCTCACTGCTCAACTCGAACACGCGGTTAGGAACTCTAATGCCCAATTTGACACGTCAGATGTACTCAGACGGCTCGACTCACGTATGTTAGAGCTTTCGCATGGAGAAATCGGATGGGACGTCTTTACCCTCGAATATAAGATTGATGCACCTGTCGATGTCATCGTCACCCCATTTGGCTCCAAGCAATACCTGAAAGTTTTCAACTTCCTCTGGCGCGTCAAGCGCGTCGAATTTGCTCTCGGTTCGACATGGCGCCGATGCATGACTGGTGCTCGCGGCGTTCTTGGTACCGTAGCTGATAAAATTGGCGCGGATTGGAAGAAAGCACGCTGTGCGATGGCCGAGATGGTCCATTTCGTCAACCAGTTGCAGCACTACATCCTCTTCGAGGTCATTGAGTCGTCGTGGATTGATCTACAGGGGGCGCTCAACAAGCCGGAAAGCACGCTCGACGACATGATTGAAGCTCATGCAAAATATCTCAACAACATTACGCGGAAGGGACTGCTGGGAAGCTCAAGCATTGACTTTACAGGGCAGCTTCATGAGCTGTTGAAAACTATGCTAGCATACAAGGACGCAGTAGACGGTTTATACTCATTTTCTGTTGCTGAGTTTACGCGTCGACAAGAACACGCGGCCAAGATCGAAACACGCACAGCAGCAGGCCGATGGGGTCTGTCTGAGAAGGACAGCTCGGCTTCAGATCCTCTTGCTCCACCGCACTCGCGCGCAGCATCTCGCCATGATGAATCACCCTTCCCACCACCACTCCTCAAGATCGGCATGACAGGCTCGGCCGAAGACGATGTCCTGCCAGCGCTACAGAAGCGTCTGAGCCAATTGACGGAAGACTTCCGGGCCAGAATAAGTATCTTGTTGGGTGACCTGGTACACTCGCCAGACGGCGAATTAAAGATGTTGGCTGTTAATATCAACTTCAACGATGTGTATAAGCCTGAGCGAAGACGGAGGAAGGGTTCCCAAAGGTCGAAGGAGAAGGAGAAGGAGATGCCGAAAGTCGCACTTCCAGCAGCTTAAGGTGATAAGGAACAAGATGTTCGATGCGATATTGATACCCGAATACTTTGGTACTGCGCCGTAATACAACTGTCTCTTCCTTGTTGATATCAGTAATCACGCTTGCCGAAGGGGTCACATCCTGATGCAAATCCACTAAGCTTGTCAGGTGCGAAGAAGCGAAGCTTACGATGACACACGTGGTATATTCATAGATAGTACAGCACTTGCAGCAATGTGCCCTTCTCATCTAGAACCAAGCTTTGTGGCGCCGAGCGGGCCGCGCCCTTGCAGGGCTTGTGTGTATTGCGCATGTGCTTAGTGGGTGCTGCGAATCTCGGACTATTGACGGTAAGCTGCTAGAACCAGAAAGATGGCTCGGCCGAGATGATGTGCACAGGGATGTCCTTGACTGCGTCATTCATACACCACAACTTTCAACACTACAACTGACGTTATTCCGGCGCAATGGCGCTCTCTACGTTACGCAGAGAATCAGACTTTTCGCAAGTATTTTGAACAGATCAACATTGTTCAATTGGCACTAAGCAGATGTGTTAAGCTGGTTGATTCGTACGAGCTGGCCCACTGCAGTACGTTGCGCAACTTTTATGCCTCATGCTCCACCGAAATGCTTCGGAGAAGAATCGGCAAGGCGATTGGGGATGCATCCGATGAAACATGGCGGCATTTTGAAGGGTTGAGCTCTGCACTGGCGTAGGCTTTCGATCTTGCGTGTTACCTCCAAACAAGGTATATGTAGCTTGCCAATCCCCAGCAGATAGGAAATCAATCGCACCAAAATCTTTTTTTTTTGTATCACGCAACCTGTCTGGGCACTATCACAGTATCCCACGAATTGGATCAACAAACAACATCTGCTGCTGGATATCACATTATCTTTTACAGATCAGCATCTGTCAAACTGCTCTCTATATTCAATCACCACGCCATTATATTGTATCAACTCGACGTCGACACGATATTCTTCTAGATATGGCGTCATCACAACAGAAACAAGAACAAAAGCAACAGCAAACCACGATACCTGACTACATTGACTCTGCGGCCACATCCGCCTCCAATGCAACATGGGCCATAGTTCCACGCTCAACCACCAGCCTCGACGAAGGATGGCACCATTTCGCGTATGCAGATCTTGCTCGCGCAGTGGACAATATGTCGCGCTGGATTGAGAAGACTTGTGGTGTTGCAAAACAAACCGGTCAGACGATTGGATACATGGGGTGAGTAACTGATGCCTCCGAACCGCAATTTTTCGATCAAGTATACTGATCTGTCATTCTAGCGCAAATGATCTGCGGTATCTTGTAGTGCTCGCAGCAAGTTTAAAGACAGGCTATGTACCACTCTTCACGTCACCACGAAACTCGCTCGATGGTCAGAAGTCACTCGTGGAAAAGACAGCATGTGCTATCTTCTTGAGTACAGTTGAGACGATGCCACAAGTTGAGACCATCCGTGATGCAGTACCTAGTCTACGGGTTTATCAGGCGCCCACCACGGCAGAGTTGCTTGATCCAAGTCTCCCCGCTGAGCACTACTCTGGAAGACACAGCCGCGACGTGACGGCCCACAGTCTGATCTTACATACTTCGGGTTCAACAGGTATGCATCCTTAGATCTCACGAAAAAATGTCAATATTGGCACCAAGTACTCTTACTAACAGTATGCCTAGGTCTGCCGAAGCCCATTCACTTGACCGTTGGCGGCTTGAACTCCGCATATGAGCAAGCCCAACTCGGACAAGAAAGCGGCGTCGAGCATGTCAGCAAGCCTTTCCTGGCCGACACGCGACCCATGCTCGCGGCTGTACCCTTCTTCCACGCTATGGGCATCATCGTCGGGCTGCGATCCCTCATGTGCCGTGGCTCTATTGTACGAATGCCATCGGAAAAGATGTTGACTGCAGGCTTGGTCATAGATGTGATCGAGGCTATCAAACCCACCTCTGGCATCTTCCCGCCATCAGTACTAGAAGATATCTCGGCCACGCCTAAGGGTATCGAAGCACTGGGCAAGATGGAGACTGTCTTTTTTGGTGGCGCTCCTCTCGCTGTAGAAAGTGGCGATAAGATTTGTCATGTGACGAATCTGATGACTGTCATCGGCAGCACGGAAGCCTTGCTAATAAATACACTCATACCATCCGTACCAGAGGAGTGGGGTTACTTCCACTGGAGCGCCTCCGCGGGCGTGGTCATGGAGCCCGCCGAGAGCGACCTGTTCGAACTTGTCATCAAACCGAAAGACACGCGTTACCAGACAATTTTCCACACTTTCCCCACGATAGAGGAATGGCGTACCAAGGATTTGTTCAGACGTCATCCTTCGAAGCCTTACCTGTGGAAGTACAGTGGAAGACGAGACGACATTATCGTGTTAAGCAATGGAGAAAAAGTTAACCCTGTGCTGTCGGAGAAGCTGCTCGAATCACATCCGTGGGTTAAGGGTGCCCTCGTTGTTGGTCAGGGTAAATTTCAGGCTGGCCTTCTCATCGAACCAGACTGGTCGCAAGCCGGCACACAAGATCCTTCCGCGCTGGTTGATCACATCTGGCCGATGGTAGAACAAGCGAATCGTGAAGCGCCTACCCACGCACGAATCTACCAAACCAAGATCGCCGTTGCGAAAGACCAGAAGCCATTCAAGCGCGCTGCAAAGGGCTCGATCATACGTCTTCAGACAGTTGCAGCTTTCAAAGATGAAATCGAAGCTCTCTACGCCGATGAAGGGTACTCAAGCGATACTGACCAGGGGACTGACAGTGACGTCGCACTAGAGAGTAAGATCCACGCTGTCTTCGCGCATGCTCTGCCTTCTTTCCAGGACGACACAGCCAATGATGTGGATGTCTTTAGTCTTGGTGTCGATTCTCTGGATGTTCTGGCACTTACCAATGCGCTTAACAAGGCCGTTCGTGGCACCAATGTGACTGCCTCGACGGTCTACAGTAACCCTACGGTCAAACAACTAGCTGCAGCGCTGTCGCAAAGCGTGAGCAAGTCGAATGTGCAGCATGCTTCACCGCCTACCCGAGAAGAGAAGCTCAGCGCTATGGTGAGAAAGTACACCAAGGACATGGTTCGACCCAAGAACATAGCCGAGGCACCGAAACGACCATCGAAACAGACTGTCATTCTCACCGGCTCCACGGGTAGCCTTGGCAGCCACATCCTGGAGCAGCTGCTAAAAGGTCCTGATGTCGAGAGAGTATACTGCCTAAATCGTTCAGACAGCGCAGAGACACGACAGAAAGAGTCCTTCAGCAAACACCATGACCCGAATGTCGAGTTCAGCAAGGCTCACTTCTTCAAGACAGACTTTGGCGTCGACAACTTCGGCCTCTCAGATACTACGTACAAGCATCTTCTCTCTACAGCCACAACATTCATTCACTCTGCCTGGTCTGTTGATTTCAATCTCTCGCTCGAATCCTACGAGAGCACGCACATCGCAGGGACCTATCGTGCCATAAACTTCGCACTTGCCTCCCAATACAAGACGCCTGTCATCTTCATTTCATCGATCGCCAGCGTCGGGAATTGGGGAAGCGTCGCACAAGATGGCTCTGGCGTACCAGAATCTAGCACAACACTCTTCGACAGCACGATCACGCTACCGCAAGGCTATGGAGAGTCCAAACACGTTACAGCTGAGATATTAGCCACAGCATCACATCGCCTGGGTATCAAGACCGCCATCATCCGCGCCGGTCAACTTGCAGGACCAAGCACGCAGGCAGGTGGTGCAGCATGGAATCGACACGAGTGGCTACCAACCATCGTGCACACGAGCAAGGTGATGAAGAAGTTGCCACGCACGTTGGGTAATATGGACCGAGTGGACTGGGTACCCATGGATATCGCAGCAGGAACTGTCATCGACATCGCCAATGCGACGTACTCGGAAGATGAGCCTACGCAAGTCTACCACCTCGCCAACCCGCATACAACCACATGGAAAGAACTTTACCCAGTAATCCAGGACTTCTTCAAGCAGGAGGATAATACCGACATGGAGATTGTCGAGTACAATGACTGGGTCGAGGAGCTCGCGCGTATACCACAGACAAAAGACAACGCAGAGCGGGTTCCTGGGATTAAGTTATTGGATTTCTACCAGAGTCTGCGGTTAGAGGGTATGGGGATGCCTACGTTGCAGACGCGACGGGCCGAAGCTGTCAGCTCTACATTGCGCGATGGTAGCGCTGTACATGCAGGAGTTGTTAAGAAGTGGCTTGAGCAGTGGGCATTCTAACAACTGTTCTTAGATATTATAGAAAAGGGGTGTTAATGCTAAAGCAATGCAAAACAACACGATTAGATAACTTAATGAAATTAACTGTTTGTGAAAGGAAATAGTATCGCGAAGTGTAGCACGGGATAGCAGAGGCTGAGCGAGGGGGACGATTATAGTCCGAACATGTTTGCTTCTCTCGCTCGCGCCTTAGCCTCTAAACCTGCTTATAACCTACGCTCTACGCGTTAGGAGATAAGCGAGAATTATTCTTACAACCTCCCTACCTAGTGTAGTAATATAGAGCTTTCCCTTACTATTCTCTTGTAATGTAAAGTAAACACTATTACCTATAACTACCCCTTGTATAATAGTTCTTCTCCCTTGGAGCTAATAGTCTAAGGATAGCTCTTTCTATGTAATTAGCTGACTAAGCTAAAGTAGAGAGCTAGAGCTCTAGCCTCTTAAGCTTATTATAAAAAATACGTAAAGAACTAGTAGAATAAGAGGAAGACGCTGTAAGGGGCTACGCTAAGGGAGCTATCGTACAAGTATACTGGAGTTGTATTCGATAGAGAAGAGAACTACAGGTGGCTAGGGTTCTGAAGGTCGTTCACGTCTACAGCGTCGTAGTTGCTCTTCTAAGATCTCTTCTACTACCTACTCGTCCTTACTGTTAATCTATAGCGGTAGTAGTTAGTAGTCGTCCTAAACCTAGCTAGGTAGTAGGTTAGAGTTTGCTAGGCGTAATCTGTTAACATAGAAAACAGGGTAATAGCCTTTTAGGGTGTCTAGCTTAACTAAATAGCTATCAATTACTTTAATTACTGTGTATTTAGCGCTTTTCTAGTCTAATATTTATAATAGACAGCCTGTTTAGTATTACTTATTATGTTTTAGCTAAACCTTATTACTAATCTTATAATTCCTTACTTCCTTCTAGTGCCTATTAGTCTACTTTTCTGATTTAGCTTACGCTTTAGCTATACTTACTTTTACTAAGTTAAACACGTCTTGGAATTTAGCTATAATAGCTTTAGCCTTCTTACAGTCTAAACGTTCTTTAGTAGTATACCTTTTCTTTTTAGCTCCTAGTAGGGTGTCTAGATAGAGAGGATCTACGTTATGCTTATATTAGAGGAAGAATAGAGCAACTCCTACTAATGTTGCATCCCTCCTATTAATAGTAATCTAAGCTATAAGGTAGTACTTTACCTAATCCTTTTATAACTAGCTAATAAACGCTTAGATGTATACTTCCTATACGCTGTTTGTTTGTTCTGTTACTCTATTAGTCTGTAAGTAGAAGGCAGTAGAAAGCTATTAGTTAATCTTAAGCATCTTATAAGGGCGTTCCTATAAAACACTAATAAACTAGCTACCTCTATTAGATGTAATTACGTTAGGTAACTAGTAGTAAGCTACTACTTATCTAATAAACGCCTTGACTACTATCTCTATTCTAATATCTGGTAATAAGATAAAGAGAGAACCTTTACTTAGTTGATTAGTAATAACCAGAAAGTAAGTTATACCCTTATTGTCTAGTAGTCCTTTAGTAAAGTCTATTAAGATTTCTTTCTATATCCTATTTAGTAGTAGTAATAGTTTTAGGAACCCCTAGGTACCCTCTCTCTATAGCTTCGTCCTTCTGCAAGTGTTGTAGTTCCTTACATAGCGTCTAATATTATCTAACATACTAGGCTAGAAGAAGTCTTAAGCTACTATCCTATACGTAATTTTCTTACCTAGGTAGCTAGCTAAAAGGGAATTGTGTGCTTCGCTAATAATTTAGGTGCGCAACTTCTCGTTGTTAGGCACCTATTTCCTGTTTTAGTATAACAGTTCTCCTTAGTTGTTAACTAAGCACTCTAAGATTAAGCATTTTACGCCTAGGCTAGGAGGGAACCTTCGTTCCTAATCTATTACTACTTGTATAGCGTTCCTGTATTGCTAATCGTCCTTTAAGGCTTCTAACTATAGCTCCTTAAGCTTGTTAGGTTGTTCTAGCTTATCGCCCTAGCTAGCTAGGCCCTTAGGCTTAGCTTGTCCTCTAAGCGCCTTACTGTAGCGCTCTACCTGTTCTACGCTGCTCTCGCTTACAGTAGGAACTAGGTCTTCTAATTGTTCCTCAGTTAGGTTAGGACGTACTCCCGTTCGTCCTACGCGTATCCTCGCAGACATTACCTAGCTTACTAGTAGATTATCTTATTCCTTACTACTCTCCTCGTAGCACTAGGAGGTTAGCTTTAGGACCTAAATAATACGCTTTTAGAGGCGCTTATCGTCTGCATCCTTAAGCAGGTCTTACTCTCTGCGTAAGAGTGTATTAGCTCGTACGTTCTACTTCCTTAGTCTGTACAGGATCTCTATGTTAAACTAGCTTAACATCGCTACTTAGCAGACTTAACGTTTGCTTAGCATCTTTAGTTTTATAAAGTACTCTAAGTTCTTATAATCTATAATTACCTTAAAGCTCTTAACTAAGCGTAATTTAGCGTCCTATTCTTCTAGGTAATAGATAATTACTAGTAGTTCCTTATTATAAATCTCGTAGTTGCATTTGTAGGCGTTATTCTTTTTTAAGAAGTACGCATAAGGACGCAGTATCCCCTCGTCGTTGTACTAAGACAACACTCCCCCTACAGCGTAACTAGAAGAGTTGTATTTTAGAACTATGTCTTGTCTAGAGTTAAACATTGCTAGGTTTAGTTCTATAATAAAAGTCTCCTTTAGCTTATTAAAAGCTAGCTATTTTTTATCTCCCTAGGTAAAGCTTACGTCGCCTGTTAAGCGCGTAAGAGGAGCAGCTATCTTTGCAAAGTCTCTAATAAACCTTTAGTAGAAGTTTGTAAACCTAAGGAATAACTATACTCCTTTTACAGTCTTAGGTGCCTCCTAGTCCTTAATAGCTTTAACCTTGTCTAAATCTATTCTAATGCCCTTCCCTACGTTAGTAACAAAACTAAGGTACTTAGTAGACTTTAGTTTAAACTTATATTTCTTAATATCTACGTGTAGGCCTGCGTCCTGTAGCTTACTAAGGACTCTTTAGACGTAATCTTAGTATTATTATAAGTTACTATCTATATAGATTAACACGTTATAAAGGTAAGCTAAGTAGAAATCGTTAAGGTGTTCCTTTAATATCTAGTTAATATACTACTAAAAAGTGCTTAGGGAGTTAGCTAAAGTAAAAGAAGTTACTACCTACTTAAATAAGCTAAAGCGCGTTGACAAGGCTGTTTTTTATTTATTTCCTTCTACTATATAAATATTGTAGAAGGCTGTAGTTACGTCTAGTTTTATAAACTACTTCGCCTTACTTAGGTTGTTAAGCCTCTCTTAGATAAGTAGCAGCGTGTATCTATCCTTTTTAGTAATTGCGTCTAACGCTTAGTAGTTAATATAAAGGCGCAACCTTCCTTCTAGATTCTTTATAAATAGTATAAGAGCTAAAGCTAGCGACCTACTTACGCGTATAACCCCTTCCCTAATAGGGACGTAAGTTCCTTTTAGAGTACTAGGAGCTTACCTCTTAACATGCTGTATAGTAGGCCTTAAGGCAGCTAGGGCTACTATCTATCCTTTAACTTAAATTTAATATAGTAGTTTACCCCTAGTTCCTAGTGTACAGGAAGTTTTACAGCTTCTCTTAAGGTAAAGAGCTTATAATAGCTCTAATAGTGTTTTAGTAACAATGCGCTTACGTCTACTAATTTCTTTAGTGCTAGCGCCTTATTAATATCTACGATAGAGGTAGTAAATATTTACACTTTAGCCTCTAGGTCTCTAGATTCCCTTAGGAGACTTATAAACGTAGCTACGTTTACTTGTTAGGGTGCGTTCCTATTTTAAACGCCTTTATTACACTTTATTTAAATATCCTTTAAGTAGATAAATAAGCTCCTCTTAGCTAGAGCTGTTATTACGTTTAGGTAGTCTATCTACCCTTTCCCTTAGACAACGTCTTTGTCTATATAGTTAATTATATATGCGTAGGTAACCTCTTAGTAGCCGTGCGTATTTAACTTACATTAAGAGACCTTATTAATCTTTAATAACCTCTTATTAATTATTTTAATTAGTAAAGGGGCGACTAAGAGGCGCTTAAGGCAGCTTTAGCGAGCGAACTTCCTACTAACTAATGCAGAGCACAGGCAACTACTATCTATTAACGCGGTTGCGTTATTTACCGTATTTACGATTAGGTGTGCTTTAAGCGGCTTCGTGTTTATGTGCTTTTGTTTAAACTAGTTCTATTCGCTACGTGTTTACTAATCTATCTTTAGTAGCTCTAAGCTAAGACTCTAGTTTAGGGTTACTCTTTTTCTAAGTCTTCTAAATTACTACAATCCTTTGTCCCTATATAGCACTTATAGGTTGGTAAAGACTTGCGCTAAGCTGCTCTACTTACCTTAGTGTTTATTAGCCTAACACCCTTCTTATAGTGCCTAGCTACATGTCTTTTCTTACTATATAAGTAGCACTCTATTTAATTACTGTTTAGTTTCTCATGTTTTGTGCTTACCTTACTAAATTTTGTCAGCTCTTAGTCTATGTTCTCTAGCAGTAAAAGAGTTCTTATATTATTTTAGTTAACCTATTAGTAGGAATTATAGTATACGCTAAACTCCTTTTAACTATAAGTAGCTATATTTACTTAATGTAGGTTGTCTAAGATATAAGTTAATTTACGCGCGGATTCTTTAAATAATAGGTCCTCCCTTACGAGGATTAAGGCCCTTTAAACCTCTACGCTTAATCCTTTAGAAAATATACTCTTCTTCTACGCATCGCAAATCTATACTTCTAACTAGAGTTCTAACTAATTAAACTCTATATAGTAATCTTAACTTGAACGTTTTCCTTATTACAAGTTTAAGAGTTTTGTCTAGTGCTTTATCTTTTAGGTGTAGGTTATTATACTACTAGTTAAGAAAACTCTATAAGTCCTTAATAGAGCTGTATTCTTAGTGCTACTCTACCTAAGGGAAAATAACTTCTAAAGCTCTTTAGAA